TCATGACCTTTCACTTGTGAGACAGACACAGTGCCATGAGCTAAATCCCCAGCCCCATATTCTCTATTTTTGACTTATCATTCTTCTGGTATACTTTATATCTTTCAGCATATTTCAGAAAGCTAATTTAAAGTCATTGTGTAGTGGCTTCAATGTCTTTGCTTCCTCAGAGACAGTTTCTGATAATTTTTTTGGGAAGCGGGGCATACTTTCTCATTTCTATCCATGCTTAATAATTTTTTGTTGAAAATTGGACATTTTGAATATTAATAATAGGTAACTGTGGAAATCAAATACTTATCTCTCCTTAGGGTTTCTTTTATTGTTTATATTAGCTATAGATATTTGCTTAGTGACTTTAAAAACCTATAGCTGGCTGGGAATTTGGCTCAGTGGTTCTGCTGCCTGCCTTGAAAGCACAAGGACCTGAGTTCAATCCCCAGTACCAAAAAAAAACCCCTACAGCTGCCACCGCCTGCCTCATAAGCACAAGGTCCCAAGTTCAATCCCCAGTACCGAAAACAAACAAATAAAAAACAACAAAACACCACAAATTTATAGCTGTAAATTGGGCATGGAGGTATACACGTGTAAGCCTACCACTCGGGAGTCTGAGGCAGGAGAATCGCTGTGAAAAGCCTGGACTAAATAGTGAGACCCTGTCTCAAAAAACAAACAAACAAACAAACAAACAAAAGCTATAGCTGTAAACTCTATTCTTTGTCTTATATGGTCTCTGAGGTTTCTGTTTCTTTCGATGGTGGTCAGCCGGTGTTTTGACAGAGATTCCTTTGAACACCTACAACTAAAATGAGAAAAGAAAGAGTCTTCCAATTTGCAGCTTTCTCAGGGCTGAAGGAAGCTCAGTAGCACAGAACTGGCACTGCAGCTTCTCTGTTGGAGCTCTCCTTCAACATGCGGCTTAGCTGTTTACAACTCTGCCTTAGCCCTCACTTCCCACCTGTGTGGTCCTAAAGATCTGAAAGCTTAGGATCTTCTCGGGTCACTTCTGAACATGCATCTTGCCATGCATTCACATGACTTTTTACTAGTAGTACCTGTTGGTGGTACATAACGGATGCATTCTCCATGGGGAATTGATCTGATCTTAGTCCATTTTATTTCTCCTTCCCCTCTTCCCCTTTCCTCTCCCTCCATGCCTTGATTTCCTTCTCATCTGCAAAAGGTTTAGTTCCATTTCCTATCATTTATTTTGCTCTTTAAATTGCTTATACTTTGGGTTTCCTCATATATCAAAAGCTATGGGGGCTGGGGATTTAGCTCAGTGGTTCCACCGCCTGCCTTGCAAGCGCAAGGACCCAAGTTCAATCCCTGGTACCAAAAAAAAAAAAAAAAAAGCTATGGAATATTTAACTTTCTATGTCTTGAGTTACTTAGCTTAGCATTATGGTCTCATAGTGCATACATTTTCCTATAAATTACTTAACTTTTCCTTCTTTATGGCTGATTAGTACTTCATTGTATATATCATTATGACTTTCTAAACTCCCTAAATTTTTTTTTTGAGACAGGGTCTTGCTATGTAGTTCAGGCTGGGCTTAAACTCACTATGTAGCCCAGGGTGACCTCAAACTCATAGCAATCTTCCTGCCTCAGCCTCCCAAGTACTAGAATTACAGGTGTGTGCCACCTACCATGCTCAGCCTAAGTTCTCTGAAATTTGAGGGAGCTTTTCATATCCCAAAAAAACTCTCACCAGCTTTTCCTTCCAGACTTCTCAATGTGTCTATTGTTTGCTTCATCTATAATCTTTTTCTCAGACAGCATGGGTTGTTAATTTGCCTTTTAATGTTTAGGAGAACTGCTCTCCCTCTGAATGGAGGCTTTCTATCCTGAAACAGCTTTTTTTTTTGGTACCAGGGATTGAATTCAGGACCTCAGGCTTGCCAGGCAGGCGTTGTGCTTCTGAACTGTTGAGCTTCATCCCCAGCCATCTATTCTGAGATTGATTGATTGATTGATTTTGTTGTGATATTGGGGATTGAATCCAGCGCTTTTACACTAAGCTGTATCTCCAGTCCTTTTTTTCATTTTGATACAGAGTCTTGCTAAGTCACTAAGTTGCCCAGGCTGGGCTTGAACTGAACTTGCAACCTCTTATCTCAGACTCCAAGAATGCTGGGATTACAGGCATGTACCACTATACTGGGCTCCATCCTGAGATTTTTGAATGCCTGGTATCAGTCCTTCATGTAGGCCCTGGACAGGCCCAAACAGCTAAGTACCATTCTTTTAGAACAGGTCTGCTCTGCTCCCTCTGGAATTGAGGACAAGGGTCCTCCACTGGGAATGGCATCTTCGCAGCTACCAAAACCCCGAGAATGCTGCAAAACTTTCCTATCATTTTAGTTGCCTCTTTACCGATCCAGCATTCACTTGCTGTTGTAAGCTTGGATTATTTTTTAGCTGGGTTCCAGTACAGTTGGTTCTAACAGTTCTTGCTCATCTTTTCAGTATTTCTTTGAAGGGAAGGGGCCTTGGAACTTTCTATATCACTACTTATAGCCTTGTGGAACCTCAGTTTACTAATCTATAAAATGGGGACATTAGTATCCAGGGCTTCTAATTGACGAAATCTTTAGGGCCGTGAGAAAAAGAGGTGTCCAGCCAGGTAACCTCAGCCAAATGTGTTTTTTTTGTCAAGAAGTCCTGAGAAGAAAAGCAAGAAAACAAACAAACATGCTACTTGGCTCCATCTGGAATAGTATGGCAACTCCAGTGACCACAAATCAATATTTCATTTCATCATACCAGTGACCCTCCTAAGACCTGTTCCTTCTAATGTACAGTGGCCTTGGGACAAGTACCAATCCCCCCATGTCTCCTAAGAGAGATGAGCTGATTGGTTCTTCTTGTCAGGAAAGCTGGACCAGGGCACCTCATAGGCTGCTGGCCATCCAGAGGGTGACTGCTCTGGCTTAGAACTCAGCCCTGGTCCAATCAACAGTGGCCAGACAGAGATGCTGTTCCTTCCAAAGCTGAGAGTGAGGCAGAAGTGGGAAGGGTTTCTGGCAACGTGTATCAGGACCAGAGCTGTGGCACATAGGTTGGGAAGCAGAAGATCATATCAAATGCTTCTTCTTCTTCTTACTCCTCCTTTTTTTTTTTTTTTTTGAGACAGGGTCTTGCTGTGTAGCCCAGGCTGGTCTCAAACTCTCAGCGTTCTTCCTGCTTCAGCCTCTAAAGTGCTGAGATCACAGGCGTGTGCCACCATACCTGGATCAAATACTTCTTACACAGGTGAAATGTAACCAGCTGGACATGGTGGCACGTACCTGTAATCTCAACATTGTGAGAAGTTGAGGCAGGAGGATTGTAAATTCTATCCCAGACTGGGCAATTTAATGACTTTGTGACTTCCTTTTTGAAGGGCTGGAAATGTAGCTCCAGGCAAAGGCCTTGAGTTCAATCTCTCATTACCTCCTCCCACCAGTGCTGACTAGTTTCCTTCACATAAAAGGGTCAGCAACTTGAGCGTAAGGACTGGGCTTCAAGCTCAGTCCTCTCTGCGGAGCCTCCTCCAGGGGTTTGCCGATGGAAAGAGGATCTTGGCCTGTTGGCAGAGATGTGTCAGGACTGGGAAGGTAGCATTAGCTGGAGTGGGTATGGGAGAGGGAAGGTGTAACCCATCTGTCCATGTATTTGTTCCCATAACAAAAGCCAGCTGCATGCTGATCTAATGGGAAGGTCGGGCTGGATCTGCAGCAAAGATGGCAAGATGGAATTCCAGGTTGCAACATCAGGACATCTGCAGAACAAACATCCTCTTCCTAGGTCCCATCCTCCACTACTTAGGTAACTCTGAGCTTCAACCAGATAACAAGTGAGCCTCGTGGGTTTCCTGGGACTTCCAGGTCTGCCTTCCTAGCCCTAAGTTAGTCTGGAAGGTCTAGGGAGCTTTGGGGGGTACAACAAACAGTTGTCTCAAAGGTGGAGGAGAAGGGAACGTAGCAAATGTTGGACCTGTCTCCCCAGTCCCAGTCAGAGAGTCCAGCCGAGTCTAGAAGTCTTTTCAAGAAACTCCCAGGACTCCGGCTTTTTTTTTTTTTTTTTTTTTTTTTCTGTTATGGGGATTGAACTTGGGACCTGGTGCTTGTGAGGTAGGCAGTGGAACCACTGGGCTAAATCTCCCACCCCTTTCCAGCTCTTGTTTTGTCCAGGATTGTGAGTCTGAGCTCTAGCTGTGACTTCCCTTTAGTACTCCATACTTAGGTAGGTCCCAGGTATCCACCGCTAGAAAGCAAAGTCCAAAACCTAGGACTCTGGGCCAGCTTGTCTGAACTTAACAAGGCCTCCTATCTCTTGTACTCACTTCCCTCTGCCTGCTGGAATTGACCCAGCCATTGTCTCTCTGCTTCTGCCCCACTCAGCCAGAGGGTCCTGGTACAGCACAGATCTGACCATGTCACTCCAGCTCAGAGGGCTCCATTGCTGCAGGACAAAGCCAGGCCCTTTGATCCTGCACATAGACCCTCTGTCACCTGACCCCAACCAATGCGCTCATCTCACCCTCTCCTATCCCTCCCTCATCCCCTAGGGACCCCTGCAAAAGTACCCATCCCATGTTTGTGCCCTCCACATTCTCTGGCATCTTCCATGGGGGCGTCCCTCCTCCATCTCAGCTGGATGACTCATTCTCATTCCTCAAGGACCAGATTGCCGCCTGGCCCTCCAAGTAGGGTTAGCAGCGCCCTCTTCTGGGCTTCTGCGTTACAGGCTTCTGGACACCCTCGCCCCAGAACATGCTACACCGCTTTCCGTGGCTTTCAGAGCAGGGATAGTTCCTTTTTTCAGGGTTTCCAAGCCAGCCAGGGCCTGGCCCAGGGTAGGTGTCTGTAAATAGAGGTCCAAGGAATGAACCCTCCCTGGGGGGTCTGCCCTGGGTATTATTTCAACTACCGTGGTCATTGTCTTGCTGCACCCCCACCCCACCCAACTTGCTGAAGCCAACCGAGCCAGCAGCACTTTGGAAAGAAAGACTCTGAATGCATCATCCAAATGAACTGTAATTAGACCTGGGAGCAGGGTCAGAGGGAGAATTGGGGTGAGAAGATGGAATATATGCTTAGGGCTCCTATCCCAAGCCTCTTAAGGAAGAGAAGCAGGTGACAGAGGAGGAATAGCACCTGCGGGGTGTGGGGAGATGGGGCCGCTGTCCCTGCTCTACCATGGACCACTCGCTCCTCTTGGGACTCACTTTCCCCACCTGTGCAATGGGGAGACAATCCCTGCCCAGCTTCTTCCAAGAGCCTCAGTAAGAAAGTTCTCCCTATTGCAAACTGTAAAGTGCAGCCCACACATGCAGGCTGCCATTCTGGGAACCAGGCCCAGCTGGGCTATGGGGAATGAGGACAGGAGTGTTGGCCATGAGAACACTTTTTTTGTTTTGTTTGTTTGTTTTGGTACTGGGGATCGAACTCCTGACCTTGTGCTTGCAACGCAGGCGCAGTGCTGCTGAGCTAAATCCCCAGCCTGAAAACACCGTTTTGAGGCTCAGAACCTGGTCCTTTGAGCACCCTCAGATTGTCAACATCTCCTCCCCTCAACTTTCCTGGCCGTCTTTGCCGTGGGTGGGGAGGATGTGACCATGGGGTCACTGGGGTTTGGGTGGGGGTAGCTCCTGCCCGGGCCCCTCCTCCCTCTCACAGTGGAGGCAGAGGCCATATCAGCTGCAACCCTAGTAGGCCCACTGGTAGGTAACTCTGCTCCCTAGCTTCAGCAGGTGTCTTGTTGATGAACAGGTACAGTCCCATGGCACTTTCCCCAATCACCTCCTTTGGTGAAGTCTGTCCCCTGTGGACCGATCCCTGGGTGAGGGGTAGGATGCCCAGTGGTGGGCTGTTTCTTGCAGAGCCCAAGTGGCCAATAGCAGGGGATGGTGAGTTCTGGCCACCTGCAGGTGAAGTGCCCAGGCTCAGCAGATGCCTCAGCCCAGCTTGTCCTTTCTCTTGGGTCTGGCTGGGTCTCAGTTCCAGAAGGGCACTGAGAAGAGGGCTTCCCAGAGCCCTGATGGCCCCTTCAGAGCAGCGCCTTGAAAAGGAAGGAGAGAGAAGCACCACAGGAGAGTCCCAGGGCTAGGAAGAAGGTCATGAGGGCGCCGGCCACCTCTCTCTCATGTGGCAGCACCTGCCTGAACACAGAAGTAAAAGCTCTTAGAAAACACTGGGCTCAAATCTGGAGCAGCCCCAAGGCCCTCAGCCTATCCCCATGTCACTGTAATCTGGTCCTTCTCTGGGCTTCAGTTTACCCATCTGTAAAATGAGGCCACTAGACAAGGTCATCTCTCAGTTCCTGTGGGGTCTGTAGGGTTTTAGATTCCATTGCCTTCCTTCTAGACAAAACATCCCTAAACTGGCCCTCCATGTTACCTTTCCTCCTCCCCTGAGATTCTCAACTCCATTGTTTCTGGAGGAAACAATCCATAAACCTTGCTTTTGATCAAAACCAGTTCTACTTCAACAGAGAATTTTGGAGCCAGATGGACTCTAAGGGTTGACAGTCCAACTCATTTATTTTCTGATGGGGAGACTGAGGCCCATAGAGGAGGCCGCAGAACCAGTGCCTGGACTACGTAGGCAAGTATCTCCGTAGCTCCAGGCATGGGGCCAGCTCAGACCCAGCAAGGCCTGGACACAGCTCCCTCCCTTACAACTGTCCCTTTTCCAACAGCCAGCCCCCTCCCTAGCCCCAGCATGCGCCCCAATGGTCCCCCAGACCTGGGTGCCAGGCACATGGTAAGGGATACCAGGTAGCCATTGGAGATGGCAAATAGCAGCATGAACGTGATGAAGTAGGCATCCTGCCGGAAGAGGATGGGTAGCCGAGCCCGCTCAGGCACGTGGCACAGCATGAAGAGTGGCACGAACAGGAACCGAAGGCAAACCAGCAGGGGCAGCAGTCGGCTGTCCTCATCTGGCTGTGGCAGAGGCTCAGGTAAGTGGTCCCTGGGGCTGGCTGTCTGTTCCAGGGGCACTTTGGACACTTATAGGACAGACCCATCAGTCACCCCCAAACTCCTCTGCCCTATCCATGAGCCAGTGAGGATCCAGTGCTGGGACCTCTGGGGAACAAGGCCCTGAGCCAAGGCTATTCAGCAACAGCCTGAAGCTCACCTCGGCCTCTCCCAATATCTAGCTTGTGCTTTCTCCATCACAGAACTGGCCAGGGCCTTAGACAGAGAACATAGTTTTCAAATCTGGTTTCCGAGGGGACCCTTTGGGATTCCACAGACCCCTTTGGAGCAACTAGGATTCCTTTTTCCTTTAATTATAATGTTTGATATATTTGAAATCACACACTGAGCCAGGGGTTTAGCTCAGTGGTGTTGCACCTGCCTGGCAAGCACAAGGTCTTGAGTTCGATTCTGGGTACCCAAAACAAAAATTTTAAGTCAACTAAAGTAAACTCTAATATTAAAAAAAAATAAAAATAGCCGGGTATGGTGGCTCACACCTGTAATCCCAGCATTCGGGAGGCTGAGGCAGGAGGATCGCCGTGAGTTCGAGACCAGCCTGGGCTACATAGTGAGTTCC